CTTCACCCCTCGGCCATGGCCTTGGGCCTTCCAGTGGGATGGTCCACATTCCACCTCAGCTAAGACTTGCTCCCAATTCAGCATCTTTCTTTCTCTCCCTTTCTCTGTGTCCCTAGCCTAAGCCACCCTACAACATCTGTCCACCGAGTCTCACAGTGATTTCTCTGAAGATGGGGGTCTCTTCTCTACATGAGGACTTTAGCCAACCTCAAGCAGCCTCATTCAACTGTACTTGGTGCCTCTGAGTACAGTTTTGCTCCAGGAATGTTCAGTGTCCCTAGCAACAGGCTGAGAAAAATATTTCCCCCTCCTTGGAGGTTAGTGTGTTAACTCTCCCTTTTATGTGGCCTCTTCCCACTGTAGTTTACACCCAACCTCTTCCTGAAGCAGATGCTAGAGAGGTACCAAAACAACAGCCCTCCGAACAATGACGATCAATGGAAAAACAATGGAGTCACCAAAACTTGGGACAGGCTCATGCTCCAGGTGAGGCCCATGGTCTTGGGGAGATGCCATTTTTATTTACTAGTGGGGGAGGGAAGTCGTCGTACACATGACTCAGTGGGGCTCCTAGATCTACATTTTGTTTCAAGCCATCATGTTTATTATTTTACATTTGTAAGGATAATGGCATTGTCAAGAAATTTAGATTACTCATACACTCTGCCTCTCAGAACTCAGGTATCATTTACATTGAAAGAAAAATGTCTTCTCTGCCCCTCAGTGAACTCAAGTGGCAATTACTGCCTGTTTTTCCTTTTTGGTACCTTTTCACACTTCCTATGAACTAATCCTGCTAAGGACCAGGGGCTGTGACTTGATTTGCTCCCCCAATTTTCTCTCACTGGCAATCATACCTTATGTCCATGTTTATGTCAAATACCATCAAAAGTCTGAGTTTTCCAGATTATCCATCATGATCCCCACACTGCCCTATGTACACAAGTTGTGATTCTCTACATAACTCCGGATCCGACCCACCTCTCACACTGGCCCCCAGTCCCACTCCCCAGCTCACACCCACTGTTCACAGTCATCATCAGCACACTCCCTACAGCCTCCACACCTTTCAACTCTTTATTCTCTTGCTTCATCAGAAGTTTGACTGTCTCCTGGTGGCACTGCCTGCCCTTCACCTTCTCATTTTCTGCCACACTCGTGTTTCACACGATCTGGACATTGGCTAGGTCCCCTCCTTGCTCCCTTGGCTGCCGTACTATTTCCTTCCTCCATCAAACACCTCCTTCACACCACCAGTGTTTATCTGCCCTTATCCCTCCTCCTTGCCATCATTTACCAGCCTCCCTACACCCAGTCATTCTCCTGCCTTCGTTAAGGATTTCATTATCGCACTCACTGTCCACCTCTTCACTCATCCTCCTGTCATCCTACCTTGAGACTTCAACATCCACATAGATGACTCAGCCAACATCTGGTTTCACAACGCCTCGCCCTACCCCATTCCAAAGATCTTGTCCTCCACCCCACCTCGGCCACCCTCTTCCATGGCCATAGCCAGTATGTCATCACTAATGACTGTGCCACCTAAGAAAATTCCACTCTCTGACCACTATCTTCTATGCTTTTATTTATTCTAATATCCATCCCCATTCTAATAATTTTTACCCCATTAGGACCTCCAATTAATTGGCCACTTTTTCACTTCCTATCACCCTTTTCACATTATCCTCCTCACCCAGCTAATATTCAAGTCCTGCCCTCTAGTCACTCCTCTGTCAGCTCCCTTTGCTCCCTCACCTCTGGTCATCACTCTTTCCGAACCACCCCCACTGCGGTTGAGTACACCTTTTCCCTCACTCTTCATGTACACCCGAACAGCTAAATGATCCTGGGAAAAGTCACACAACCATGCTAGTAAATAGTCTCAACTTAAATTTATGAACACAAAGCTCACATGGGCACTCAACATTTCCTAGTATACTTTCCCAGAAAATTCACTTGCCATTATTTCACATGCCCTTCCCTCTCTTCACGCCTGCAGCATCCCTCCTCATCCTCACTCTCAGCCGATGACCTGACCTCATGTTTTGTTGACAATATAGAAGCAACTAAACAAGAACCCATCACCTCTTTCTACCACCAAATCCACATTCATCTGCACCCGTGTACTTTGCCTCCTCTCTTGTTATGACAAATGGACTGCCCTTCGTCCAGGTCCCTTGCATCTGCCTTGCATTCTAGCTCCTTTACACCAACAATCTTCCCTGCTCTGATACAGCTCATCAGCTTCTCCCTCACATCATCCTACATGAACACCTTAAATGTCCATCTTTTCAACAAACTCTCTGTCACCTCACATTCACCCATGATTCTGTTCCACTGTTCTGTTTTATTTTACAACAAATCCCAAAAGAGATACTTACACTTGCTCCCTCCGCTTTCACCCCTCTCCTCTGCCTTCATCCAACTATGATCGGCCTCTAACCCCATGACTCTACAAAATGACCCTTATCATAGTTAACAATCACCTCCATCCTGCCAAATCCAATGGTTACGTTTCTGTCCTCATCTTCCTCAACATCTTGTCAGCGTTCATCACATTGGACACTCCCTCTGAGTCTCCTTTGCTGGATTTTCACCCTTTTCCCGACTCTGAAGTTTGGAATGCTGCAAAGCTCAATTCTGGAACTTTAACTCTTCTCTATCCCTACCTAAATCCTAGTCTGAAATAAGACTGGCTCAAACTTGACCATTTTTCCCCAGAAAGCTCAGGTCAAAATACAGAATGATTATTTTTCCTGGTTAGGTATTGCCCATAATCCAGTGGCAAAATTGGACATCCTTTAAAGATGGTTGACTTATCATCAAGTCTGCTTGGATAAATTTATTCTAAAAGTTGAGAGACACCTGTAGTTTTAACAGCCTCCCTTTTGAAACATTTTAGCAGAATTTATAATAAGGAAGGAAAGTGATATGAATTGTGTTTTATCCTCTATACTCAATTATATCCAGAGCATACGGATATCAGTTATGTGTTAATTAATCTTCTTTCCTATGTAGAGGCATAGTGTGTGCCACCAGATTTTTGTTACTTTTTTCCAGTTTATTTTCTCCCATTATAAAAATCACACGTAATTACCCCAGAAAAATGGTAAAAATATAGAAAAGTAAAACAAGAAGAATTACATATAATTTCTTCACCACTAAAATTTTTAATTTCCTTATTCTCCATTTGCTCATATGTAATATCAGGATAATTATACCTCTCTCACATTGTTGTATCAAGATATGAATACAATATTAATAATAATTAACATTTATTAGGGCTTTACCATGAGCCACATACTATACTAAACACATTAAGTATATTAACCCCTTTAATCCTTACAAAAACTCTATGAGGTAGTTATCACATGTATTCCAATTTTACAGTTAAGAAAAATGAGGCTTAGAGAGTTTAAGTAATATATTAAAAGTGACAGAGCTCATTAATGGCTAGTAAAGTAATAAATGTGGAAATATTTTGCAAACTCCAAAATGTAAGTTACCAATACCTTCAGCTCCTCTTTGGGGATTGTTTAGTGAACATAACATATGTTACACTTTCCATATCTTCTTTCTGTATAGAATCTCAGTTTCTACATTGCTGGCTCTAGTAAAGACCATGAAAGAGAATTTTGTTTCTCTTATCCACTGACAGGACAATTGCTGTGGTGTAAATGGTCCATCAGATTGGCAGAAATATACATCTGCCTTCCGGACTGAGAATAATGATGCTGACTACCCCTGGCCTCGTCAGTGCTGTGTTATGAACAATCTTAAAGAACCTCTCAACCTAGAGGCTTGCAAACTAGGAGTGCCTGGCTATTATCACAGTCAGGTGAGTGTGCTCTAGTCCCAAAACCTGCCAGAAGGTTCTTCTGCTCTTTATAAGGAAAATATTGGTCAACTGTAGGTAATAGTCTCTCAGTAAGGAATTCCACATACTTTTTCCTAAACCTCTTATGAACTATTTTCTTCTCTGCCAGTAAACTGTGAATACTAAACCAGAACTGACATGAGCACATTTACATTTTAACAAAATTAACAGAGTATGAGAACTGCAATAGCAAAATTCAACTTTGTTTAAATAAAAACAATCTGTACAATGTATAAAATTGGTATTTCAAGAAATATTTACATTAAACAGTTTTATTCTATTTTTGCAAAATGTACATTGGAAGGGATGATATGCAAAAGGAATGTTTTCCCAGTTTCAAAGCAATGGCAATTTCTAAGGTTACATGCAGTAATTATATATCCACATTCCTTATTCACTGGTAATATAGGACAGTCTTGATAAAATATTATGTTGGTGATTTGGGTAGAAGGTAATTTATATACAGAGGGTTTTTGAAAAAGTGTTTCCAGGCTGATGTGGATGATGTTATTATGATCATGAAAACTAATATTTATTACTTACTAAATGCCAGACACTGTTCCAAATGCCATACATATATGAATATTAAATCCTTTAATGTTCAAAAGTAGGTGCCAGTAGGATTCCTATTTTATAAATGATGAACTGAAATATAGAGATACTAATGAGTGCCTTGCCCAAGGTCACACAACTAGTAAATGGTATTCAGGATTCAAACCTGAGCTGTCAGGCTCCAGAGCACAGACTCTAAGCCAATAAAGGCTCGGTAATAGTCCCCAAATGCCCTGGTGAGAATCCCCATATACCTGTAGCCTGCATCTGTTGACACCACACTGAAATGCTGTGCACTGCTCTGGGAGTCACTCCTTTGAAGAAAGCAAGTTGTGTGCGAGCTTATTAAATAATTGAGAAATGTCAGTCTCTCTAGTTTGGGAATAAATAATGACTGTATTTTCAGATTGAAGGACATTTGGCACGAAGCAGGTACTTGATAAATGTTTGGTGAGTTGGTAGATGAAAAAGTGAATTGCTCTCTTTTTCACATCCATATTGTAGCTTTTCATGATCTACAATGCACAAATGTGCTGCTATAGCCATGGAGACTAACAAAATTAGGGAAGTCATCAGTGTAGTAGAAATAGTAGAAATCAACCAGAATTTCACATGGCATGTCAGATGCAAATATATATATTCTGCATCATGGTCCATCTGCCTTAGAAATGCTATGTGCAAATTCTGATCACTACACCTCAAGAACATTATGAGGAAACTAAGGAAGATCAAGTAAAGCACCACTAAACTGATTAACATCATGAAAAGGCACTATATGATAAGAGGTTTCTGTCTGTAAGCTCGATGAAAGCAAGACCCATTTTTGTTTGTCACAGCTAAATGCCTACCCCAGTGCCTGGCACCTGGCATAAGTGGGCTCTTATGTATATGATTAGATGAAAGATCACCTCCCAGGATTGTTGAGAGGATCAAGTGAGTAAATAATACAGAAGTGTTTCATGAACCCTCAAGCAAGTTGCAAATGATACTGTTGTAATCAGTACTTAATGTTATGTTCCACTCATTATGTAAATTCTTAATGTGTGTCTACTATGTGCCAGGCACTTGTTCTAGGTTCTAGAGATTCAGCAATGAACAAGATGAAATCCCTGCCATTGGGGAGCTTGCATTCTAGTATGGGAGACAGACAACAAACATGTTACCAAACAAAAACATGGTAAAATTCCAGGTAGTGATAAATGCCACAAGCAGAAATAAAGCAGAGTGAGTATTTAGAGTAGGATGAGGGGAAAGAGTGTTTTCTCTGTAGTTGTCAGGAAAGGCTTTGCTGAGATGTTTACAGAGGTCTGAATTAAGTGAAGAAATGAGGCAACTGGAATATTGAGGAAGAGGGTTTTAAACAAAGGGAGCAGTGAATGCAAAGGCCCTGAAGTGCAAGCAGTCTTAGCATTTTGGAGGGACATCTAGGAGGTCAGTATGACAAAGCCAGAATGGGTGAAGGATTAGTAGAAGGATGGAGCTAGATTTTTGTACAAACTGAAGCCTATGAAATTTTTAGGGAGGGGTCCTCCTTAGGAAAAGCAATTAAAAATATGCATACAAAAGTAGGTACAGGGCTTTTAAATGATCTTGCAAGTAAGCGGCCCTGAAGTTTAAGTCTTTAGCTTTGCAGCAAAACTACCTCTGGTAGTGGAAGATGGGATCAGAGAGAGAGAGAGGTGGGGCCATACCATACAGTGTCTTCCAGGCCACGGTAAGGACTTAGAATTTCATTTTAAGGGTGGTGGGAAGCCATTGGAGGGTTTTGAGCAGGGGTTTGAACTGATCTGATTTATGTTTTATAAGGATGGCTCTGGCACCATATGAAGACCAGTAGGGTGCCAAGAGTGGATGCAGGCCTCAGGGAGGCCAGTTGGGAGGCTATCAGAGTAATCTTGGAGTGAGGCCCTGGTAGACCAAGGTGGCACCAAGATGTGATAAGAATTGTTTGGATTTGGAATATATTTTTAAAGTATCCCCAGAAGGATTTGCTTAAGTGTTGAATGCTCAATAAAAGAAAGACAGTTGATTAAGGATAATTCCAAGATTTTTCATCTGAGCATCGAGGTGAATAGATGCGCCTGTCATGTAAATGGAGGAGAGAAAATGAGGGAGAAACCAAGTATAGCAAAGGCAGGGCATGTAAGTATTAACAAGGGAGTGGGGCAGGGTCAAAAAGGACAGAACCTCAAGTGGCCACCTGTAGCCACTGGGAGGAGCCTAAAATTCAAGGTCAGCCTTTCTAGGGCATTTGCCTCCAGACCTCATGGTCTATGGAACCAGCCCTGGTTATTGCATTTTCTGCGCATTCCCTGTGATTCCCAGCACTTTAGTAGAAGTCACTCAGATGGCAGCTCTAGCTTTACACATGTTACTTCTCCAGGACTTTGCACAGCAACTAGGACAGAGTGTGCCATGTATAAAGCCTTCCTGGATTATGGCCTGCATGAATGAGTGATTTGGTAAATAAAAAATTAATCACTCTTTTGCGTATACACCATACCCTTCAAAGTCTCACTAGAATCCAATAAAGATGTGTTGAAGTATGATGTCAAATGAGAATTCAAGGAGTATGATGTAGGGCAACAGAGGGCTTCTGGTTTTTGTAGACTAGAAGCATTTTTATTTAAAAACAAACAAATCAAAAGGTAACTCTGACTTTCAGATAAATCACCAATAAAACCTTTTAGGAGGGAAAAAATCTAATTTTCTTAAGAATGTATTGTCTACATATTCAGTATGGAAAGAATATTATGCTAAAATAGCAGCACTTTGTAGTGAGATTGAACGATAAAGACACAAATAAATATGTTATAGAATAGTTGTTCTATAGTTGTATTATTTACGTTCCTTTGGCTACTAACAGGCATTTAGTAGCTGGCTGTCCCCAGGGATGTGGCAATGGCCTGGTTATGTGAAACTGGACTTTGGAGTGGCATTGATTCAAATAAGAACCTGCTTTCCTGTCGATGTCTTACATTTTTTTTTTCTCGTTCTTCTCACACCGATGTGGAATCGCCCCCTCCTCCAGGGCTGCTATGAACTGATCTCTGGACCGATGAACCGACATGCCTGGGGGGTTGCCTGGTTTGGGTTTGCCATTCTCTGCTGGACTGTGAGTATTTCCTAACACATATTTTGTTTCTGAAGGGATGGTAAGAAAAGATCTTGAGATTGCCACTAGTTACCTCAACCACACTAGAAGGCCTAGAAACGAAACATCAGACCTCAAGGATAGTCAAGAAACTTCTGGCACCAGAACAAGAAGAGTGGATTCCCCTGAGAGGCAGGAAGTTAACTTCCCATACTAGGGGAAGGATGTGCCCTCCTAACCAGATGCCACTTCTGGTTGACTGGGACGCTCTTGCCTTTAGGGGCTGAAGAGCCTTTTTCCCTTGCCCGGACTTCTTACTGAATGCCAGCCTGCTCCTCCAGGTCTCCAGATCTCATTAATTCATTACAACTAGATAGCAAAGACTGTCACCTACCTGCCTGGCTCCTGCCCGATGCTAATCTGCCTGGCACCTTCCAAAGAGCTGCCTCTGCCAGCCCCATCAATTCCTACTGCCCACTTCATCTGGTGCCCATGCAGCAAGAGGTTAGAGCGGGGGTTCTCAGCCCTGGCTACACATTAAAACCTCCTGGAGAAGCTTTACAAAAAACATAGATGGATCCCAACATTTGAGACTCTGATTCCGTTGATCTCAGAGTAGGGCCCAGTCTTCTTTTTCCTCCAGACAATTCTAATTTGCTGTCAGGGTTGCAGACCATCGCATTAGGGAAGCAGTCCCAAACTTTTGACTTTAGTAGCCCTGTACATTCCCACACATTATTGAGGACTCTAAAAAGCTTTTGTCTATATGGCCTGTGTCTATTGACACTTACCCCATTAGAAATTAACATAGAAAAATTTTAAATATTTATTAATTCCTTTTAAAACAATAAGCGAATTACAAGTCAACATAACAACATATTTTTTGTGGAAAAATAACTATTTTACAAAATGAAAAAATTGAGAAAAGTGGCATTGTTTTACACTTTTGGAAACCTTTTCAATGGCTGGCTTAATAGATGATAGCTGGATTCTCATATGTGCTCCTTCATTCAATATGCTGTAATATGTTGCCTAGATTGAAGGAATTGAAGAAAATATATCTTTCTCATTGATATGTAATTGAAAAAAAGTGGTTTAATAGCTTTATCTGAAGATAATTGTGAACATTCTTTGATACTACCCAAAACTCCACAGGAAGTAGTTTCTTAAAGGTCAGTTGCAACATGGAACCTAAAACTATGTTAATGAACTTTTCATACTCTAGTACATTAAAATATACTACATTGGTTTGCCTTGCACTTTGTATAACATTTTTTTTTTTTTTGAGACAGAGTCTTGCTCTGTCGCCCCAGGTAGAGCATAGTGGTGTCGTCGTAGCTCATCAAACTCCAGGGCACAAGCGATCCTCCTGCCTCAGCCTCCTAAGTAGCTGGGACTACAGGCATGCACACAATACTTGGCTAATTTTTCTGTTTTTAGTAGAGATGGGGTCTCACTCTTGCTCAGGCTGGTCTCGAACTCCTGAGCTCAAGCAAGCTTCCCATCTCGGCCTCCCAGAGTGCTAGGATTACAGACGTAAGCCACTGCATCCAGCCCACTTTGCATAAATTTTTTAGCCATGCATAATTCTGTAATATCATGAATTGGTTATCTGGAAAAATATTGGTTCACTGTGTTATGCAGATCTTCCAAATGTTGACTAATCTCTTTATGCAATACCAAAAAGTCACATTCATTGATATTGCCACATTGGAAAAGACCTTAAGCTGTGGCATGCTATCAAGTTCATAGTGACAGATACAAGTTTTCCAAAGTTCTGATTTTTGCTTGAAGGCTCAAATTTATCATTGGCAACTAATATTGCCAGTTGTTTCCCTTGAAGTGAAATAATCATTTTGTAAATTTTTGAAAAAATATTTGCCACACACCCAAGCCTGAATAACGAAAGCTTGTCTGTTAGTAATTTTTTCCAAGTAAAAAAAGGTGTTTCGTGAAAAAAAATGGGTAGTTTAGAGCATAACTCAATCATACAAGTGCTTTTCTTTATGACAACCATATTACATATTTCATATGTAACAGGATTGCTTTAGATATAGTTCCTTTTTGTCGTGCAAAGGTCAAAGTTTACTCAAATTATTAATAGTAGTTCTTACTCCTTCATCAAGGACAACCTCAGGTGAAACTGGCTTTTATTAATAGCTTTTTTTTTACTGCAAGTGCACAGCAGTGAGGGATACAATGACTACTAACACAGTTCAGTGCCTCTACCTGGATTCTTGCTAAGACTCCAGCAGTTTTACCTTCCACTGGTTTTGCACCATTAGCGCAAATGTGAAAACAGTGAAAAAACAAATACAGTCTGATTATTATTCAAACAGTCTTATATCAAGGACCCCTAACGTGTTCCTCAGGTGTTTGTTTACCATACTTTAAGAAATGCTGGGTGAGGGGGTGATAAACTGAAAGAGGCAGGAAGTGGAGGGAAATCAACTCCTTCGAGAAATTTTCTATGATCCCCCAATCCACCCTCTTAGAGCTCCCACTACACCCTGTGCACACCTCTATCCTGGAACTACTCTGCTGTGATGTATTTGAATATGCAAAAGGCTGGAAAAGAGCTGCTCTTTGTCCCCCCAGTGCGTGGCATAGCACATAGTAAGGGCTCAATAGTGTGTTGAATGAATGAAAGATGACAGCAGTGGAGTTTCTATTTGTGCCAAGTGAGCAGGAACTATTGGATAGTGCTTAAAGGCTCTTGAGTATCTCAGAACTCCAAACCAGTCATAACCCTTGATGTTTCCACAGTATCAAATGGACTCTGGATCTAGTTAAGTCCCATTTGAAATTCAAAGACAGAAGGGAAGGGAACTAAATGCATTGAGGGCCTGCTATGGACAAGGCACCATGTCAAATTTTTTTTTTTTTTTTTTTGAGACAGAGTCTCACTGTGTTGCCCAGGCTAGAGTGCTGTGGCATCTGCCTAGCTCACAGCAACCTCAAACTCCTGGGCTCAAGCGATCCTCCTGCCTCAGCCTCCCGAGTAGCTGGGACTACAGGCATGTGCCACCATGCCCGGCTCGTTTTTTCTATATATTTTTAGTTGTCCAATTAATTTCTTTCTATTTTTAGTAGAAAGAAAGGGTTCTTGCTCTTGCTCAGGCTAGTTTCGAACTCTTGAGCTCAAACAATCCGCCCACCTCGGCCTCCCAGAGTGCTAGGATTACAGGCGTGAACCACCGCGCCCGGCCAAATATTTTTAATATTAAGTCCCTACAACAATAGCTAGGCAGGTAACCAGTCTCCCATCTTATAAGGAACAGAGAAATTCAACAGGGTTCTCAAGAATTATGCTTAAGAAGAGCTTTTAAGCATGCCCTGTTCACTACTGCTTGCAAAAGGCTTCCCTTAGAGATTAATCAGATAAACTCTGAAGCCAACTGCCTGGGGTTGAACCCCAGCTCTGCCACTTACTAGTTCTATGACTTCAAGTAAGTTACTTCTCTGTGCCTCAGTTTCTTCATTGGGTTTTGGAAGCATTAACTTCAGTTATATAATAGCACTTAGGGAACAGTGCCTGATGCATAGTTAAGTTCTCCTAATAAACATTAGACCCTATTATTATTATTTCATTATTTCATTCACTCCTCTGTCTCTGGGGTAGGTATAGAAGGTGTTGTATTTATTATACAGATGCAGAATCAAAGGCTCAGGACAGCTAAGTGACTTGGCTAAGTTTATCCGGAAGTAAGTGCCAGGTCTAAAACAGAGCCCTGATATTCTAACTCGTGCCTGTGTCAGATATCTTGAGTTCTATGGCATTTTTGAGGGGCAGCCGTTCCAGGTCATGAACATGTTAGGAGAAAGGGGAAGTCCCCTGGGAGGAGCCATTTAATACTTAGAAGCAGGAAACCTTTACCTCAAAATGGTACACTAGAAATAGGAAGGCACTGGAAGGTAATTAGTCTTGATGGGAAGAATAAAGACTTTCCCCAGGGGGCTAGTTTAGCATAGATTGAAAAGAACAACCCCAGAAGACAAGGAGCCCTGGATGGGAATTGGGGTCAGAAACACTTCTGGGAATAGAGAAGTTCCCTCTAAGTGGCAGGTTGTAAGTGATGCTTTGGAACAGGCTGGACTCAGTGTCACATCTGGCCCTGTGGTTTAGCTTAAGGCAGATTACTCTTAAAAATCTAGTGTTGCCTAAGCCTGTATGAACCTAACATCATTTTTTTTCCAAGTATGAGACATTTCTAAAACAATTTCTTATTTTTTTATTGTAGTTTTGGGTTCTCCTGGGTACCATGTTCTTCTGGAGCAGAATTGAATACTGAGTGTCACCACCATACCTCCTTCCTCTAGTGACTCTGGATTTGGTGCTGGAACCGGCTGTCTCCTAATATCCCACATTTGTGCTCCACGGTAACGCGTGCAGGTCTTACTCAAATTGCCAAGTCAGGCGGTGTGGAGTTTCTTTAGCCTTTCAGGCTCCCGAAATTCTCACGACTCGTACTTTTCATCCTGGTCTAGGGTTCTGCAACATTTTTATAGACTGTAGAAAAGAGAGAATTTGGAAAGTAGATAATAACTTCTATCTCTGCTTATTTTGAATTTGGAAGTGTAAAGACTTCAAAGAAACCTGTGTTATCACAATAAGCTATGACTGTATTTTGATAACACATCTCCCTGTATTTCTCACTGTTTTCTAAAAGAAACCTTCCAAGGATTCCCTTTATCTAAGTATTGTTGCAGCGGGTAGGAGGGGGGAAGTAAAGAAAAGGTTGCTGAAATACATCTTTTGCATTCTACGGTGGCTCCCATCTACAGAGACTTGGGTGATTCTCCTGATGCCACCTTCAAGTACTTTTATTCTCCAGAAGAATCCTCGATCTTGAGTTAACAATGGTTCAAGTTTCCTGTCGCAGCTTGATATGTGCTTAGTAGCCTCAATTCTCCATTAATTAAAAGTGCAGAGATTTCTGGGGACAAAGAAGGGGCTTATTGTGTATTCGCTCAGTTCTTGCCCTGAATGGTCTCAACTTCAAACGCCTTTCAAACAGGCGAGAAGCAGGCCAGCCAATAGAATGGGGTGATTTATGGGGATTTTTGTCTACTGTCAAAATATTTCTCTTCTAAACTATTTTTCCATTTGTGGCCCTGAAGGAAGTGCTTATAACTCAATATTTGTCTAGTCTTATAAATAAAGCAGGCTTTAATATCTGTTCAATTTCTTTTATTTTTACCAGTGTCATAATTAGTCATATATGACTCTAACAAAATGGGATTTCCAACAGAAGAGCCTAATTCATGAGAATTAAGGTGGAGGAGATGGAAACCGCATACATAGGGTGTGGTTTCCGGCTGGATTCTGGCTAACCCTGCAGTGCAGTAAAACAGTCGGAACTCCTAGGTTTACTTTTCACTTTTCTCTCCTGCTCACCTACCCAAGAAGTGGTAATGGAGCTCATGCTCTTGAAATCCTTTCCTCCTGAACTTGGAAGCAATGAAAACATCCGACTCCAACTGCCGAATGGTGTCCTTTATGAAGAAAGTGCGCCTGTCACCTGGGGGTCCTACTCCCAGCAATCTCAGACTCAGGGAACACTCCCAGCCCGTCCCCACCCCCTCAGGTTCCTGTGAGTCGGGCTGAGCAGGCATGAGGCAGGAGTGGAGGGCACATGTCTCGGTGTACCTGGTAAAGCTGGGGCAGGAGTCGCATTGCTGATTCCTGGGAGAGGGAACAAAGGCCCACACCCTGACAGGGCACAACAGCTCACCCCTCCCCTGCCTCACCTTGTCTCTCCGGGATAAAGATGTCTTGGACTATCAAGAGAGATGACACCTGCACTTGGCTGAGAAGGTTCTCTCTGTGGTCTCTTGGAAGATGAGAGGAGAGGGAAGGAGCCCACTCTGGGCAAAGCATCGAAACAGCTGCTCGCCCTCCCCACACTCTCTGGGGCACTCCGGGCAGTGCCTGTTGCTCCCACCACTCCCTGGGCTTTCCTCTGCCCTCACGCGCTCGCCAAACCCACTCCTGCCTTCCCTGCCAGGGCCTCAGACTCCAAAATTCTCTCTCCATACAAAATTATCTCCTCCTTATCATTGGGTCTCAGCTAGGTCAAGGGAAATTGTTTTTGAAAACTAATTCATACTAAAGGGAGAGGGACTAGTCCCCACTCTCTTAATCTCTATGGATTTTTCCTTGATTGCTGCAATTGGCCTCTAGTTGGTAGAATCTAGCACAGCTGTGGGAGCAGGAAAGCGCAATTGTGAGACAAGGTGGCCCACCTGCTGCTCCTTAAATGTTATCTCCTCCACTTCCTTACCAAGAAGTAATTAGAAGAGAAAGGGCCTTCAGTAGCCACTGCCTCTTCCTCCATAGAAGGTGCAAATTCCACTACAGATGGGGATAGGCTTTGCTCCTCCCCAAACCAAATAAGATCCTCAGCCCAGGTCCCCAACACTTGAGGAGGACACACTTTTCAGCTGAGGCAGAACCGAGGCCTGAGGATCTCCCTGCAGAGTCCAGGCATTCAGGACTCCTGCGGGTACCCCCACACCCCCACCAGGGTCTTCATTCAACCTCAGGGCAGTTTCTGTTCTGCCCCATTCCGCCTCCATCCCCTTCCACCTTCCCTGGAGGCCCAGCCTTCCCCCTCTTCCTTCTGGCTCCTGGGCCTGGAAGGGGGGCTCACTGCACGTCCTGGGCCCCAAGCCACTGCTCAGGAGGGCCCAGGCCCAACCCTGCCAGACCAGGAAGGTGAAGAAGGAGAGCCGGGCAGCTTGGCTCTGGGGAGCTGGCAGGTTGCTGGGCTCAAAACAGGCCCAGACGAAACCAGTCTTGTGAAACTTTCCTCTTCTCCAACAGTTAAGCTGCTTATCAGGTGGGCGAAGAACAATTACTACCTAACACCAAAAATGTGTCAGGCTATCTTAAGTTTCACTTGATTGCGACATCAGGCGGGTCATCACGCTCCCTTGGTTGGCCATTCTCTGCTGCTCCTGACCCTGGTGGGAGGTTTACATTTAACATTAGAAAGCCCCCATTTAACATTAGAGAGCCCCCTGCTCCTGTTTGTCAGCCTTCACTTTTTTTTTTCCTACATCAGCTAGAATAAATAGGAATTGCTTTTGTTTTAAGCAGCAGATCCAATACTCTCTGCCTACCCATAAAGAAAAGAAGGAGTAATAGTCATGTAAACTTGAAAATCTAATCTCCTCTCCACCTTGCACCCCTACCCCAACCCATCTGGTTGACAAGCTGTGCTGCCTATGGTGGAGGAATTAGAAACAGCTGGTTTCTCATTTCTATTGGCAGAAAAATTTCCTTTTTCCTTCTGTATCTAGTATTCCCTCTAGTTTCTCTTCCCGACTTCTCATCTCCTATAAGTGAGACTAAATCAAAGAAGAAACCCAGATGAAACTAGTTGTAGGATATTGAGTTTGCTTTCGTGCATTATAAGGATCAAGTGGCCACATCCAATGAGGAGGTCGAAAAACACCTTGGAGAAAGGCAGCCTTGCTGAGAAATGCAGAGGCGCCAACCCTTTCTCCAACCAACACTTCGCCCAGCCTACAACCCCCACCCCATATCTTTAGAAGACAGACAGCCAAATCCTGGAATTCCAGAGAAATGGTGCTATCATGCCCTACTTTCATGTGATCTCTTCCCCAAGTTCCTCTTGAAAAAGAAGAGCAGCCCTGACATTCAGAAGCTTGCCTGGCACTGACAACCAGGCTCAGCTAGTTTCCTGTTTGACATAAACAATCTCCCACAGATAAAGCCACTCTGAGACCATGATAAAATGAGATGAACCAAGGCCACTGTAAAATTTTGTCTAAGCACAAAGACAGTCACTATACCGCCCACAAAGTACAAACACCTGCTTTCTTGGCTAAAATGAGTGACGCTAAGTCTTACCAATTACAGGTTTGTTCTCCAGCTAGTCTCCTCCCTGTAAATAAAGCTTATTGAGATCCAGTCATGGACTTGCCCCTGCTTTCTGACAGCATCCAATACAGACTAAACCCCTCCTCATGCTCTCCCCAAATGACCCAGCCAAAGCCCAAATGCTGGAATAGGTCTTTCTAACCTTTCTACTGAGTCACTTCATGGTGCCCCCCGCCCCCGACCCCTTGTGCTGTGCTTTTGCTCACTGCAGTAAGTCATAATCCCAATTTTTGTACGCAGTAGGTCTCTTGAATGTATTCCTCCTGTTTAACTGAAATTCTATATCCTTTAATCAACATCTAACCCAATTTATTTATCTGTAGATGCAGATAAATAAATTTTTTCAGCCATTTTTTGGCTGAAGGGCATTGGCACTCCCCAAATAACTCTGCCCATCCTTATTTCCTCTATTTGTTGGCTTATTTATTTCTCTGATGCTGCAAAGTGGTTAAGAACATGAACTCTGGAGTCAAATACTTGGCTCCAAATCCCAGCTCTCTGACAAGTCATGTAACTTCTCGGAGCCCACTGCAGAAAGATGGCTCTGTCCTCACCCTGGACTGGAAGGATTCTTAAGACATGTAAAGTGTGCATCAGCCTAGAAAAGACATGGAACAGGAAGTTATTCCATAAATCTGGTCTGAAGAACTCTGCTTGGCCCCTAATCCCTGAGAACACACCCACTAATGCCATGTTGCTTCAATTTATTGCAATAAGCTAATGATCAAATATCCTGATCCAAATATACCAGCCATCAAACAATAGCTATGAGTAATAGCTTTTCAGTAAAACTCCTACTCAATAGTGGAAGAATGTACTAGGGTCATCGAGATAAGGCATTTTAATGAATGCATCTCAAGTTCCTTGTATTTTTTCCAGACTCTTAACTATAAAACAAAATCTCTGCCCTCACAGGGATATCTCACAATCTGACAGTTATTTTCTGGGGGGAAAGCACAATATTGGAGCCAAGAGAGACCTGAATTCAAAACTTATCTCCTCTTCTTACCAACTTTGGGAAGTTATTTATCTTAAATCTATTTTCTCTTTGCAGTACACACACACACACACCACACACACACACACATTTTTACATGGCTATTAGAAAGTTAAAATTAAAAACCACAGGGAAACTGATACTGAGCAGGCATTCAGTTATTATCACACCCCACCCTTCACCAGCCTCTGCTCCAAGCCCCCAAATCACACACACACACACACACATCCCACATATGCACACAAGATTTGATATTTAGATTCTCAACAATTGTCAATGGCACATGGAGCACAGGTGCTCCCTGGGGTGGGGTCTCCCAGCCGCTCCCCTCGGGTCCTCTCAGCAGGCATGAGATGGCCATCCATACACTAAAATCCATGAAGGCGGCAATACCTTAAA